AGAGGCCCCCACAAAACAGCTGAGAGCAAAACAGCTGAGAGTCGGGAGACCGATCCAACGGACAATCGCCTTGTGCTAATTAGGCTGTGCCGAAGCTGAAACGAGCTGTTTCTTCTTGCTGCTTGCTGCAAGGAGGTAAACTGTTGGGAGGCAGAGGCCAAGGGTAGTGGCCAATGGGTGGGCGGGCTACATTCAGTGTATAAGACGCACCCAAATTTTCACCCTCTTTTGGGGAGGGGAGGTGCGTCTTATACTTCAAAAAATACAGTAGCTAATATTTCATCCATAATGTTTAAAAACAGCTTATCCTCATGCATTTCGATAAAATCTGTTTATTCCTGGTGCATTTCAACGCATGAGCCCAAAGCTTTCGAAAACTCTTTTCTGAAGTTCAGCAATACTGTGTTTTTCCGAAAATAAGCCCTCCCTGAAAATAGTTAAAAGGCATGCACAGCTGGTCCCTGCCATTTCCTCTGGTTAGGGTTAGGGAGACAGAGCTGGAAATCAGGTAAGACGGCAAGAGGTGAGAATTAAACCTACATTAATGGTTTTATGCTCCCTTCTGAGAACTCATCCTGGACCCCTGGAAGAGGACAGCATACATATTTCAAACAACGCATATGAAAATTCACATACTGATTTCTCAGATACTCACCTCAATGCTTCCACAATCACATTTCTCTCCAGGTTCCAAAATACCATTCCCACAAGCTGATCTGCCTTTGGGCAGTTTCTTCCGAGAATACAATTTCAAGTTTGGCCGATTAGAAAGGCAAGGGGGGCTTTTGAACTTAATGAAATTTTGGAAGTCGACAATGCTACAGCTGCTGAATTTTTTAATTCCGTTTGAATTACTGAAAGAAAGGAGAAAAAAAAAACTGGTAATGAAGGTAAGTGGAACTGATACTGATAGCAATATTCCAGTATTTTATTTTATTTTTAATTTGATTTATATGCCGCCCTTCTCCGGAGACTCAAGGCGGCTTACAATGCGTTAAGCAATAGCCTTCATACTTTTGTATATTTTATACAAAGTCAGCTTATTGCCCCCACAAACTGGGTCCTCAATTTACCTACCTTAGAAAGGATGGAAGGCTGAGTCAACCTTGAGCCTGGCGAGATTCGAACTTACTAATTGCAGACAGCTGGAGTTAAATTACAATGCATTAGTCTGCTGAGCTATCCAGGGGCTATTGAGGGGCTGCCACAAAGAAGAAGGGGTCAATTTATTTTCCAAAGCCCCAGAGGGCAGGACAAGAAACAATGGATGGAAACTAACCAAGGAGAGACGCAACCTAGAATTGAGGAGAAACTTCCTGACACGGAAGACAATTAACGAGTGGAACAACTTGCCTCCAGAAATCGTAGGAGGATTAAAATCACTGGAGGATTTTAAGAAGAGACTGAATAGACACTTGTCTGAAATAGTATAGGTTCTCCTGCTTGAGCAGGGGGCTGGACTAGAAGACCTCCAAGGTCCCTTCCAGCTCATTCATTCTTGAGAAAAGTCCATTGAGCAATACCCATCCTGTGGCTTTTCCCAACTATGAAGGAGATGTTGTGACCCCGGCCCCGGAGGCTGATTTATCTTCGCATGCTGAGTCGGAGGATGATATGGAGGAGGAGGAAGCTATCACGAGCTATATGCCGGAGGGGCCGTCTTCACTGATGAGTCAGCAAGAACTGACAGTTGCTGACGTGCCTCTGGACCCCAGCCAAATTGAGGAGGAAAAAGAGGCCGGTAACGACGAGGGGGAGCCCCTATTGGATGCAAGAGAGAGACGTAGGAGACATCATAGAGAACAGCTATTGCCACGTCCCAAGAGGTGTGGTCAGGAGACGTAGGGCCACACCTACAAAGTATAAAAGGGGTGTGACTGGGCTGGAAAGGCGTGGTGAACAATTTGTTGGCGTTTTGGATGCAGTGGATTTACAACTGTTAGTTTGGAGTTTTTTTTTTTTTTTTTTTGACAAAAGTCTGCATTCCTGCATTAGCCTGCTGGCCGTCTGCCAAGACCTTTGGAACATTGCCCGGTAACTATTGGACTGATATACGCTTTGGAAGAGAACTATTTGTTAAAGGGCCAGCTTCAGTCTCTCTCTCTAGCCTGCGTTTGTTACTACCGGGATATTTGAGCCCCTGCAAGGCCACTCGTGGGAGGGGATAGAACAGGAGAGAAGTGAATAATAGGAATACTTGCACTGCATTCGTGTGCATTATACAGACGGCTCCAGGGCATTTGCAGTCTTTGCCGTCTTCATATTCCATCCCCAGGCTGAAACCGAGCAGTTGAGCCAGAATGACTGAGAAGGTCTCCAAAGTGATCGTCTTCTCATACTGGAAGAAAGAAGAGAAACCAGACTAAGGAATCGAAGTATTCACTCCGAAGTGAACTCAAAGATTCCTTTATTAGGAGCTCCGGCAGCCCCGGCAAAGAGTTTATCTCTCAACGCAGGCTAACAGGTCCGCCTGGCACGGAGATGAATAGTTGTCTGCCACATCTATTCATCTCCGTCCCCCTGCCTTTTATCCCCCAGAGCTAGGGTGGGATTTTGCTAGCAGCGGTGGCTCTTCCGTCCCAAGGACCGGCCCATAGATTTCCACTGCTCTCCTCTCCTCTCCCTTCTGTGCATCCGCGCGTCAAGCACAGGACCCAGCTGTTCCTCCTCTTCCTCATGGCTGACTTAAGTGGCTCAGTGGCTAAAATACTGAGCTTGTCGATGAGAAAGTTCGGCAGTTCGGCAGTTCTAATCCCTAGTATAGGTCTCTTGCGTGAGCAGGGGGTTGGACTAGATGACCTCCAAGGTCCCTTCCAACTCTGTTACTGTTAAACCCCGTCATCAGCCACCTCCAGACCTGGGGGCTGTTGAGTCTCCATCTGACGGCTGACAGACGGCGCAGGCCCCGCCCCTCTCTCTCTCCCCCCCCTCTCTCTCTCTCTCTCTCTCTCTCTCTCTCTCTCTCTCTCTCTCTCTCTCTGTCTCTCCTCTCCCTCTCTCTTTCTCTCTCTGTCTCTCTCACACTCTCTCTCTTCTCTCTCCCTCTCTCTCCCTCTGTCTCCCCCCTCTCTCTCTCTCTCTCTCTCTGTGTGTGTGTGTGTGTCTCTGTCTCTCTTTCTCTCTCTCTCTCTCTCCCTCTCTCCTCTCTCTCCTCTCTCTCCCTCTCTCTCTTCTCTGTCTCTGTGTGTCTCTCTCTCTCTCTCCCTCTCTCTCTCCCTCTCTCTCTCTCTCTCTCTCTCCTGTCTCTCATCTCTCTCTCTCTCTCTCTCTCTGTCTCTCTCTCTCTGTCTCTCCCTCTCCCTCTCCCTCTCCGTCTCTCCCTCCCTCCCTCCCTCCCTCTCTCTCTCTCTCTCTGCCAGCTCCATTCCCCCTTCCCCCTCCGAGCTCTCGGGTTGCCTTGATGCTGACCCTGACTCCCACCCCTCCTCCTCCTCCTCCTCTGATTCGGCTGCTGGAGGGGCCGCCGGCCGACAGACCACAACAATTTCACAAAGAGAACAGCAAATTATACATGGGTCCATGACAGAAGCCTTCTTCAGTTTTATGTTGGTTTTATGAACCTAAAAGTCATATTCTATATTGAAATAGAGCAATGCTTTTCTACCTGTGGTCCAGAGACCCCTGCGGGGGGGGCACATCTTGTTACAGGGCGTCTGCGAAGGCTTGAAGAAATGTTAGGATTTAAAACTTGATTTGTCGTGGGTGCTCCATGGCTGCAAACGATATTTAAAGGGGATCCGTGCAGGGGTGAAATCCAGCAGGTTCTGGAGAACCGGTAGCGGAAATTTTGAGTAGTTCGGAGAACCGGCAAATACCACCTCTGGCTGGTCCCAGAGTGGGGTGGGAATGGGGATTTTGCAGTATCCTTCCCCTCGTGCGGGGTGGGAATGGGGATTTTGCAATATCCTGGAGTGGGGAGGGAATGGGGATTTTGCAATATCCTTCCCCTGGAGAAGGGTGGGAATGGGGATTTTGCAATATCCTTCCCCTGGAGAGGGGAGGGAATGGGGATTTTGCAATATCCTTCTCCTGGAGTGGGGAGGGAATGGGGATTTTGCAATATCCTTCCCCTGGAGTGGGGAGGAAATGGGGATTTTGCAGTATCCTTCCCCTGCCACACCCACCAAGCCATGCCCACCAAGCCACGCCCACAGAACCGGTAGTAAAAAAAAATTGGATTTCACCACTGGATCCGTGGTAAAGAAATGGTTCCTCTCCTGAACTCATTTCTGCTTTTTTTCATCCACTGATGCACCCTACGCTTTGGTGGTTCCCAAAGGTGCAACTGGACTTTTTTTTTTTTCTTTGAAAACGTTTCGCTTCTCATCCCAGAAGCTTCTTCGGTTCTCGTGTAATGTTTGCAATCCCAGAGTGGCCACCGGAGCTCCCAGATCTGTGATCACATGACCTCAGAAGCGGTACGATGGCTGGTACTTCAAGAATTGGTCGTGCATCCGTTTATTCAGCATTGGCGTAAGTTTAAACAGTCGCTGGTTGAATGGATGTAAGCCAAGGACTTCCTGAACAAGGATGAATTCAGGGGAATTCTTATTTTATGTGGTTGGTTTTTTTGCTAGCATCTAAATCTGATATCTTTTATTATCTAGTGCTAACCCAAACCAGCCCAAGATCAAAATTTTAACCCTGCAAAAAAACCTGTGATACAGTACCAGAGCTATGGCTGCATCAAAATTTCGGAGGCACAATTTCCCTGTAAAAGCTGCTCCCACGTAATTTGGCTTCTCTCTGTACCTACAGCACAAGGGGAGAGAAGGGATTAGATAGATGATAGAGAGATAGAGAGATAGATGACAAACAGACAAGACTGACAGACAGACAGAAAGATGATTAGAGATAGATTCGCAGACAGATAGAGAGATGGTAGGTAGATAGATAGGTAAGTAGATAGATAGATAGATAGATAGATAGATAGATAGATAGATAGATAGATAGATAGATAGATAGATATCTGAACTAGACCTTCTGGATGGATGGATGGATGGATGGATGGATGGATGGATGGATGGATAAAGGCAATCAAACACATTTCCCCAGCAGCACGAAGCCAAGTCCAAGTCCCGATAAATCCCTTTTATTTAATTTACAGTGAATTCCTCTCCAGCAAAGTCTCCCATAGTCTTTCAAGATAGTTCACAATTACTGATCTTTATGAGGCTTGGAGAGTGGCCAGGCCGATATCTTTCAGACGCCGCAATGCTTGGCAGGAATGAACTAATTGTCTCCTGCAAACTCCACTCCCCTTTCGCTCCTCTTTTATTCCCTCTGGGAGGGGCCCTTCATCGTCCACCTGTGGCCTTACTCCTGAGTCGACCCTTGTTCTTTAGCTGTTCCCTTCGTCTGGCAACTCTGCGCATGCACACACTGGGAACAGGCTTCAGCTGTTCCTCTGCCTCACTGATGTCTGACTCCGAAGGCAGCTGATATCTGTCATATGGCCCTGGCTCCCTCTCTGCCTCCGACGAAGAGCCTTCATCAGAGCCCTCCCCAGACTCCAGGACTGGCCCATGTTCCTCCCCAACCTCCTCACTATCCGAATCTGCTGCCAGCTCTGCTGGCCACTGGCAGGCCACAACAGGTTCACAGATAGAGAGATGGTAGGTAGATAGATAGATAAATAGATAGATAGATAGATAGATAGATAGATAGATAGATAGATAGATAGATAGATAGATGATAGATAGATAGATAGATGATAGATAGATGATAGATAGATAGAGAGAGAGAGAGAGAGAGATAGATAGATAGGTAGGTAGGTAGGTAGGTAGGTAGGTAGGTAGATAGATAGATAGATAGATAGATAGATAGATAGATAGATAGATAGATAGATAGATAGATACATAGATAGATACATAGATAGATAGATAGATAGATAGATAGATAGATAGATAGATAGATAGATACATAGATAGATAGATAGATAGATAGATAGATAGATAGATAGATAGATAGATAGATAGATAGATAGATAGATAGATACATAGATACATAGATAGATAGATGATAGATAGATAGATAGATAGATAGATAGATAGATGATAGATAGATAGATAGATAGATAGATAGATAGATAGATGATAGATAGATACATAGATAGATAGATAGATAGATAGATAGATAGATAGATAGATAGATAGATACATAGATAGATACATAGATAGA